AGGTGGGATTGATAGCCGGTGTGTTGCCTGCGTGTACGGGGGGCAATGCGTTGACGCACGCGCGTTTTCCGAGCCGCCTCGCAAGCGCAATTGGTTTGATGACCTCCTCCGTACGCAGAGGTGCGCATGTGGGCACCTGCTGACTCATGCACGCCTTCCCGGCATGCCCACACATGTTTTATCCGGCCCAGAGCTTCGGGCGCCAAAGTCATTTACGCACCCTTCAAGATGTTGCACAGCGCCAGTCCCCAGAGCTGCCAGATCCCCAGCACCCGCAGCAGCGTGCGCAGCGCGCCAGCAGGCGGTGCCGGCGGCGCAGCTGCCGGCTTCAGGCCGCCGCTGGCGGGCGGCAGCAGCGCCGGTGCGGGCGCCGTGCGCAGCGCATGCTGCGAATGGGGCGCGAATGCAAAGGGTGGGCAGGGATGGTGGCGATGTCGAAAACACTGAGTTAAGGTGGGGCAAGCAGGAGTAGCCAACGGAGGCACGAGTGCAGCCAGGTCGCAGCCGAAAGCCTCGAGACGCGCCCCGCATCCCTCCTTCGCAACAAAAGCAATGACAAGCACCCCAGATTTCACCGCAACTGCCTGCCCCTCCCCCTCCGCCCCCGCATCGACGCCGCGCAGCCCCCCCTCCCGCCCGATGCCGCAGCAAGCCTCACATCTGCCCGCAGCAGGTCCAGCTCCTCTGGCGTGAGGAAGCCGAGGCCACGGCCGCCACGCTGGTGGGGCCCGTCCGGCAGCAGCCAGGGCAGCGCGCAGGCCAGGGCCATGCTGGGCAGTGCCTCTCCGAGGAAGACCCACTGCCAGCCGCGGAGGCCCCAGGCGCCGTCGAGGCTGAGCAGGAGGGCCGACAGCGGCGCGGCGAGCGCCTGCGCATGCGTATAGGAGGGCGGGGGCGGGGCAGGGGGCCGCGGCGTTGGCGGGGCTGCTTGTGGGGGGACGAGCGTAGCTCCCGTGAGGCGCACGCGCTCACCCGCAAGCAGGTCCAAGCTGCGGAGGCATGTGTGCGACGCGGGGGCCCCCCTGCAGAGGACAACGCGCGGGGCCAGGCACGAGCAGGCGGGAGGCGAGGGCGCCCGCCGGACCTGGCTGATGGCGACCGCCGCGCCGAGCAGCGCAAAGGGGTAGGCCACCCTGTCCGGCGGCAGCCAGAGGGACAGCGCGTGCCATGCCCCAGGGAACGTCCCCGCCTCCGCCGCGCCCAGGACGAGACGCAGCGCGTAGAACTGGGGGGCCGTGCGGACGGCGGTGAAGGCGGCGGCGGCGGCGCCCCAGGCGAGCATTATGAGGGTAAACCAGCGGGTGACACCCAGGCGGACGCACATCAGGTTGGCGGGGATCTGCGCGCGCGCGCGCGTGTGTGTGTGTGTGTGTGTGCGTGTGTGTGTGTGCGTGTGTGTGTGTGTGTGTACGTGTGTGCGTGTGTGAGTGCGTGTTCATGTGTCACAGTGTGTGAGAGCAAGATTGTTTGTTTATGTATGTGTGTGACAGTGTGGGTTTGAGAGGTGGTGTGCATATGTGTGTGTGATTGTGTGCGAGTCTGTGATTATGTATGGGGAAGAGGAGTGTGGCATCTGTGCGGTTTCTAGGGACATTCTCCTGCACCTGAGCCGGTCCGTCAGCCCCTAATAGATGGGGCAACGCCGCCGCCCCACCATGCGCGTCGCCTCACTCCCTACGCCCTCTCGGCCACCGCTACAGCGCCCGACGTAGCACGCGCACCCCCAACCGCCCCTTTTCACCGCCCGGCCTTGGCACAGGCACCCGCACCTGCATCGCGCAGTATGACAGGAAAAAGAGCCCCGACCCCGTGCCAAACACCGCGGGCCCAAAGCCCAGGTCCTTAGTCATCTGGATGCCCGCAAACGCCACGCTCGTCCGGTCAATGTAATTGAAACCGACGATTACCATGAACAGCGGCACCAGCCGCGCGTGCGCTTTCCGATAGGCTGCCTCCAGCGCCGCGGGCGGCCCGGCCTTTTCGCCGCCGCCGTCGCCGTCCGAGTCCGCGTCGGGGGCGGCCCTGGCGCCGCCGCCGCCGCCGCTGCTGCTGTGGCAGCCGAGGGCGAGCAGCGAGCGCGCGCTGCCGCTGCGGGAGGGCGGGGTGAGGTCGGAGGGCTCTAGGCAGAGCGGGTGTGGCCGCGGGCCGTTGTGTCGGCCGCTGGTGAGGCTGGATGACCTCTGGTGCGCCATGCTGCAGTGCCGCTACTGCTGCTGCCGCCGCCGCTGCTGCTGCTGCTGCCGCCGCTGCTGCTGCTGCTGCTGCTGCTGCTGCTGCTGCTGCTGCTGCTGCTGCTGCTGCTGCTGCTGCCCGTCGCAGCTGATGCCGCCGCTGCTGCAACTGCTGCTGATGGGGCTGGTATCACCAGCAATGACCGGCAACGGCGGGGCGGCGGCCGCGGCACCGCCCTGCTGTCGCGCCGCTGTCGAAGCCCTTGCCCGGGTGCCCGCTGCTGCCCTTGGTCAAGAGACGCCCTCTGCTTGGGCAGGCCTACGCCTGCGGCGCGCCAGGCGGTGCGACGCCATGGCGAGGCTTCTTCATCTCGTCGACCCTATTTGTACGGTGTCCGCACAGGGGCTCGCCACAGCTGAGGATTGCTCGGCCTGCACTCGCTCGACAGCAACAGTGCAGGCGCGCACGACACCGCCGACGGAGTGACTGGCGGTGGGGAAGTGTCAGTGTGGCGCGCTTTCTTCTGGATGCACTATTCGCCAGGTTCTGTTGTTACGGTACGCGTCTAGATGCGATTGATCGTAGACATTGTCACACATCATGACCACGGTGTGTCTTTGAGGGCTGGAGCGAGTGCCCTTCACAACGGGATTCGTTGCTGTGAATGTTGTTTCTTTCAGTCTCCTGTCAATCAACCGTATATACCCTCAGGAAGGGTGGACTCGACGCCCGAGACACACTCGGAAGGCCCCTTCAGAGTTTTGGGTGGACCCGTGGTACTCGACAGAACAGGCGCTTGGTAGATCGCCGCAAGTATCCATTGCCAGGCCATAACTCGCAGGAGGTATTGGGCCGCCGCACTGCGCCTCATTGTCGCCGCAACGCCGCCGCACCCAGCCGACTTGGCAGGCTGCCGTACACACACGGTGGTTGGCCCTTCACTCCCTCAGACTTCCTCAAAAGTGCTGCCATGCACGCATACACTACGACGGAGCTTATCTGTGTATGTTGCTCCAGGCCTGTCGAAGCGCAGCGGCTGTCATCATTCTGTGTCAAGCCCAACGTGTCAAGCCCAACAGGTTTTCTGATGGCGGATGGAGGGGGAGAGTCAGCGCTGGCGAAGAGGGGTGCGCGGGGGCAGATGGGGGGCGCAAATAGGTCTGTGAGGTGTGCTCGGGGAGGGCTCGACGGCCCTCGTATACCCTTGACACATTCCTAAAGGTTGCCTGCTTCTGTACATTAGGCAAGTGCAATCTCCCTCACCCTCCTCCTGAGCGTTTTTTTGCGTTCTGTGTTCTCGCACCTGCTTTACATATTCCTACATCAGGTCGCCATTGTCCAGCTCGCATGCGTGGTGCCATTCAGTCGGGTGCGACCATCTCTCGGCACACGGCGCCCGCACATGGCGCAAGGCGCGCGTGTGATCGCCCCCATCCTCATTTCTTGTCTGCCGCGCCAAGGCAGCAGGGCCCCAGAACCGCCAATCTCGGCCAAGTCAGCGAAACGCGCGGTCTCCGGCCTCAAGGGCAAGTGGCGCGCCGTGGCAGCCGCCGCCGCTGCCGCTGCCGTCGCCAAGACACCTACTGCACCGAAGAAGCACGCTCCTGCACCCCGCGCGGCTAGCGCCACATCTGCCACCTCAACCGGCAGCCAGAGCGACAGCGCCCAGGCTGCCGCCACAGCCCCTGGTGACGTCGCCTCCGGCCCCAAGGCCCAGAAGAAGGCCAACTAGCTCACATGTGCATCTGTCGCCGCTGAGGCCACATGGCGCCGCGCGTGACTGTCTGTCGACACTGCGTGGCGCACCACCGCCCCCAAGGCCTGGACCGCGCTCACCCCCAAGCGCAAGGCCTCGCCGAAAAAGAGGCAAGGCGGCAAGGGTAGCGCCTCGACCTCCTCCCTGCTCTCTGGCCCCACAGTCGTTGCCCCCAACGCCGGCCCCACCGATGCCGTCACGCCCGCCTCTGCCGCCGCTGACGACGCCGCCGCGCTCGTGATTGCCATCGCCTCTGTCCCCTCCGCCGTCCCCGAGCCCCCAGTCGCAGCGCTGAAGCCCGACCCGCACGCCGGCGCCCCCGCCGCAGCCAGGTGGGGCAAGAACCTCGGCGACAGGTTTAGGGCCGCCCTCCCGCGCACCCGCAACAGCAGGCGCCCCACGACCCCTGCCCCTGCGGCCTGCATCAAGGCACGCCCCGGCCCCCAGGGTCAGCCCTGCAACTCCGGGCCCGCCAGCGCTGCGTTTGCCGCCAAGCTTGACCGCCTCTCAGTGCGCCGCAGCAGCCCCAACCTGGCGGCGGCGGCCGCGGCGGGGGTGGTGGGGGGCGGGGCTGCAACTGCCTGCTAACTGCACGCATGCTTGCAGTCCCCCTGCAGTGCACTCTCCTCGCTGTCCCATCATTTCATGCAGTTGGCTCTCTTCCACCACGACTTGCCTCGCCCTTGCCTCGTGTCTGCGCATACCCCGTTCACGCTCGGCTGACACAGTGTTGTGCCGCCAGCTGCCCTTGTGGCCCCTGCCTTTGGACACGGCACACGGCGCACACTCTTTCAGCCCTTCCTTGGTTGCGTCTGACGACTCCCAGGGTCAACGGATGACACCACACGCACGACTCCTCACCACCCAAACCGCCGGCGTGGGCTGCATGTCCCCTGAATTTTCGCCTCGCCCTTAGTCACGCCTCCAGAGTCACACTGCATCCGCCCCTGCGTGTAACCCTTGCCTCCTCCTGCCGATTGTCCTTCAGCCCTTACATGTGCACGAACACAGGTTACACAATTGCACCGTTTGCCGCTGTCAGTCAGGTCATCCAAGGTCCAAACATCCAAGGGGGCGAAGCCAACACGCCCTCACAAACAAAAAATATAGTTGGCACGGGCCGCTGGGGGCAAAGCGGCCCAAAAATAAGGTGGAAATGAAACGTGAGGAGGGACGTGTGCGAGAAAACAAACTACGCCTACAGCAAAGAGAGCATGGGCAGATGATAGAACAAGGCAAAACCCCCGTGCAACCCAAGGCGCGCGCGAAGACAGCAAGGCGCAGCGCGCAGCACCAAAGCGGCACACAAAAAAGCCGAGGGTGCGTCCGGGACTCATGGACACTTCCGGGCGCTGCACACGGGGCCCGGCCGGCCCCTCGCCACCAGGCCGCATCCCGGGCGGCCTGTCTGGGTTGACGGGCTCGGACCCAGGCCCAGCCACGCCGCCCCCCTACTCCCTCCTCTCTAGCAGGGGTGCCATCGAGCAGGGGTCACGGGCTGCCCAGCAGGGTCGCTTCGCCCCCCCTCCCCCGCC